TGATTTTTGTCTTTTTTGCTGTCGGAGTCAGCTTGGATTCAAGGACCGAGAGGACAGTGTTACCAATTAGTAGAATTTTTACCCTTGGAAATTTTTTCCTTTTATCTTCTGGTACACGATTTCTGATACACGAAGTCAGGAAATGTATTAATCTGTTTGCTGAAAAAGCAATCAAATATTTATTGTTAGCAATGTATTCTTTCGTTAACATGTACATTTATTATCATATGTATCATTATAATTGTTAACAAGTTCTGAAAGTGTACATTTATAATTTACATATATATTTTAATATTACATTTTAATATTAACATTAACGTAATAAATATGTATATCACAATAAAAGAAACTGTTGCACAACAAAAAATAAAACTCATAAAATTTAAAATTAATCCTCATGTATATAAATACAAATGACATATATGAAATTTATATATAAGTCTACATATTAGGCATGCACCAAATTGTAAAATTACCGAATATCGGTTATCGGATATCCGAGAATGTAATATCGGATATCCAAGAAAACAATTTCTTTGAGTCGCATATCCAATTGGATTCCGGGAAAATGTCTTCTCAAAAAACCTAGAAAAAAATTGTAATTTTGCAACAATGTATAAGATGTTATAGCATTAAGAATATGCATACTTATTTCTACATTTGTATAATAAAACTAACATTTGTATAATAAAAAATTAACAATTTAATGATAAAATTTCAACTGAATATATTCCAAGATACTAATGATATCCGGCTATTCAATCGAATAATACAAAAGTTCCAAATAATACCGGATACCGGATACTTTTCGGTGCATCCCTATTATACATATAAAAAGCTTGTTGACTAGCACATTTTGTGCTCTGCAGCGAGACCAGCATTACGTAGTAGAAATTTGCTGTTGAATCCAAGGTACATATTTGGCCACGTCTACATAGACGATATACTTCGTAGGATTGCATTGAAAAGATGCATTGCCATACAGCGCTCGCGAAGCAACACCGCGCAACTTATAACGTCTTGTGATAGGATCGAAAAGTACCAGTCCGCTTCCACTGTCAGCATTACAATTATTCCCGTCTTGTAATCCGGCGCAAAATGTGCGCTTTGAGGTAAGAGAAATAAAAGCTGAGTCGCTCCAGAGACAGTCCGCCTGTAATCTCCGCATCATTATTGTCATTTTCATCATTTGTATAATTTCCCAACAAACATAAAGTTACGTGTAACGTACTTGATTGTAATTTTCTACAGTATTTCTCAACAATATAACGCATGTATTATATTACAGTCACATTGTTAAATGAGAAATTTTAACTAACATGGTACGTTATACTTGGTAACTTTGTGTTGCTAGGATTTATAATGACAGATAATACACGATAGAAAATTCGTCAACATTTTCTGTATATTATTTCTGGAATGTGGAGAATTGTATCATTTTTTAAGAATATTTGTAAAAAAAACTTTGAGGGTACATTTTCATCGCAGCTCTTATCGATTTAATTGCTCTTATCGATTTAAAAGCAATCGGTAATTTCATTAATTTTACTCGAGAGTATAATATATAGATACCGGATTTTTATGCAAATATTTTTTGTAGACACAAATATGCAAATATTTACACAAATAAATATGCATTTTTAGAATGTTTTTTTAATAAGATAAATTTCTATTTTGATATTATTTTCCAATTCTTTCTAAAAAAATATGAAATTGCAGAAAAATTCGATGTCTAGTAATATGTTTGACAAATTCATTGGATGTATATGGAGAATAACTCTCTCATAATACTAAATAATTGCCTAAAAATAGTGAATCATTCGATAGGTATATAATAGAAATATTGCACTTTTGTTAACAATGCAAAAATCTTTAAGTATTATCCTTTTTATGATAAATGCGATATTCCAGATTGATCGAGCTATCTTTGCATTTGAAACGTTTTGTTTTTAGAGAATCTTACTTGCAATTTGAATTCCTATACTTATTATGTAATCAAATAACGAAAAACAGAAATTCGGTTTTTGATCTTTACCTGACTAACTATCGATACTCTAGCCATCCGTCGCTCGTCGGTGTTAAGATGACCGAAATCATCTCTGCCCCATCCCACAATATATCCTGTTTTATCAACAACGTTTTCAAGATCGGTCGAACCGGACCATAGACAAATTGGTTTAATGAATGGACTGTACTCGACGTTTAGTCTCATGATCAAAATCGCTAAATCAGAATCACTGTTGGTCGTGTATACGTAGTCGGGATGAATTTTGTAGCTCGCAACGTCGCGATTAATGGTTTTATACCATTGATCCAAACTAAATTCTCCAAAGGCTAAGTACAAATTGTTGAGATCTATGGTGTTGTTGCCACGTTTCAAACAATGAGCCACTGTAAAAAGAAGATGTACATAAATTACATTTTGTTAATAATCCACAGTCTCTTATGGAAAATAAATTAAATATTAAGTTATATGTTTTACAGATATATATTTTATATAGATATACATTCACAAATCAGATTCTTTCTAGAATAGAATTTTTTTCTAGAAAACGATAGAAAAATTCTATTGTTGTAAATACAGAACCTGATTTGTGAATTCACTAATTTAAATCAAATCTTATAAGAATCTTGTACAAATTTTATAGAACCCGATAAAATACGATAAGTTTTCGATCAATATCCGATCAATTGTGATGCTCGCGAGATCAACGATAGAAAATGATACAAACTTATAAAAAACGATACAAATTTTAAATTGATAAAAATCTTATCGTTCTCTATCTATTTTTTTTTAGGATTCAATCGTTGCATTGGAATATATGTAAAGAAAGAAGCTATCGATCAATACATGAAGAATAACTAGTAATATTTAATTTTTTTCCTTTATTTTCTTAGCATACCTGTTAAGACATGTCTGGTTGTTAAAATGGAACCGGCACACATGAACTTATTTATAAATTCGTCATTTATTAAATTATAGATTGCCACTACCCATGGCCATTGGCCTGGTAACGTCACCGCACCATTGGACATTTTACTATTTGTATCATCGGTGTAATAGTTGCTAGTGATACCACATTCGTTGTTGGCATTCTCATTAGAAGGAGAGACGATAGTGGACGTGGTTCTGTATGAAACCACGGCAGCTGTTCTGGTACAGAATAGATATGATAACAACGCAATTAAGATAAGGTGCTTAGCCATCTTCTGAGATTCTGTTCAAAAATTAATATAATACATGATTTATAAATGTGCTTAACTTATATGAATTATTTTTAATATTTCGCATAATTTTGTCTGTTTTTAATCAAAGTAGTAAACATTAATTTCATAGAATTTTCCATCCAGAAGAAATTTTTTATTTGAAAAGAACCAAAAAAAATCAGAAATTTGTTTCAAAGGAAACTTAAGAATATTATCAAATTTATTATGCTTATTTATAAAGCGATTATATAATTAACACTCATATAATTAATATCTATATATCTCATTATGTTAAATAAACTTTAATAAAATTACAATAGAAAATAAGATTCGTGGCATACGTTACGAAATTATCTCTTTCTATTTACTATAAGCGAAATAATAGATCATAAATCAAATAAGTTTGAATTTGTTTTAAATAAAATGTCATGTATAAAATTATCAAAATGTAATGTAATACAGTGTATTAATTATATAAATCTATCATTAACAAGCATTCGAAACAAACAAATGATATTTGAACTAATAATTTCTTGTTAAAATTGATTTTTTTTTTAATTTCACAGTTTTGTCTACATTATATGATTTTATATTATATTATTTATAATTTTTCATGCACTATAACATTAAATAATTTAACCCTCAACTACAACTTTGAAAAGTAAAGTTAATTTAATATTTTGATCCCGAAATACCTTTCTTTCGCTTTAACTTCACGAATCTACAACTTTCAGATCTAAAGAATTCAAGCTAGATTTTTTAAAGCATTCTATTATATGAAGTATAGAATGCAACTGAACTTCTGCTGACGACAATTAAGAAAGAAAGATTCAAAATTTTTTATGTAGAATTTAGAATATGAATACCTATAGTATATATCAACCATACAAAAGTGCCAATTAATTAAAATGTTTGTTCGAGTTCATAAGATTTGATGCTATAGTCGAAGGTTAATATTTATCCATAATGTTATAATATTATAAATACAGTTATATAAATTATTCACTACCCGCACGGAAAAAAACACAGTTGAACTTCACTGATTCAGCAAATCTACAGTCATAATATACAGACAGTCAATTTTCTATATTAAAATAGCAAAATTGACAGCTAACATTAGCGATTTGTTAAACCTTCTTATCTTCTTCAAAGATCAAATCTTCTTAGCTATCGATGTTGAATTCGCGTAATAAATTATAGGTTTGCTGTATCATCCAATTAATTTTTTTTCCGTGCGATACTTGTACTTGTGTATGTATTTATTTTTTAAAATCAATTTCATAGCCATTATAAGTTATTTAATAATTGCTTGTATTACAACAATTGTTATTAATGGAAAATAATTATATGGAAAATAATTTCTTCATAAAATATATTAAACTGAATTAAAAACTACTTTAATTTCTATTACTAAACATTGTATTCACTTGATAACTCTTGTTGAAAGATCAATTGTATGACCTATATCGATACGTCATGGGGAGGTCAGCAAATAATAATTTTATTTTTATCGTACTGTATTAATTTTTTTAAATAGTATAAACACTTCTATTTTATGATGATTACGATATTTCAGATCAATCTGTGTTTAACAAGTTGGTCAATCTAATTGCAACATTCCATCTTTAAAAGAATGGAATAATTTAAATTCAATAATCTTTCTAAATAACCCGATTTTTTAATAAAAATAATCTTTATTTATATATAAAACTATTTGTTAAAAAAAAGTTATTAAATAAATCCGCTTTAAGATTTGAATAAAATGGCGAATATTTAAATTATCTATTAATAAATAAACGTAACATATAGAGTTAACAGTGAATGATATTCAATCAAGCAGTTAATTAAACAAGAATTTTTAATGATGCATCTAAATTTTTCATAAATTTGTCATGTTCCTATTGGAGAACCCACAAGGTTTCATTAAAAAGACATTAAATTTGAATGGAATAAACAAATAAATTATTTAAATATATATAAAAATTCCACTTTTAAATCGCACAATAAAACTCACGCGTTTTTTGGAAGAAACTTTCACTTGTTAGTTATGTTTCCAGTTAATTTCTTTTAAAAAAAAGAATTGTTTCATAAAACAGACTCTTGTATATCAATAAGTGTATCTTACGAATTCTATGAACATATATTGCACTTCAATTAGTCAATCATGAACCGGTTGTATTTGTACAATCACCGCATCGAATATAATCTGCGCTTTATTTAACGAATTTCAAACTTTAATATAAATTAAAGCGACTCTCACATATAATTGTTTCCTTTTACTTATCTTCTCGTTCACATATTTATATTTATATTTATTTCTGAGATACTTTTTTGAAATATTTTTAGCAAAATATTCTTATATATTCTTATAATAAACTTTTTAATGGTTCAATGCTGCAACAATCGGCTCCAAATATTTAGTGTCTTAATCTTCTGAACACGCTTCCACAGTTTCATCAAATCTTCGCGAGACTGACCAGTTCTCGAATGTCTCGAAGCAGTTTCCATGCTGAAAACGTGTTCGAATGATACGGTAGTGGGGTACTAGTCAAGGTGATCATGAATCGAGTCATGTAATTTATATTTTTTATTGTATTCATTCAGGATTTTTTACAAGCCGCTTCGGACGAAGCGTCTCATTCGGCTCCGTTATGATTATCGAAGCAACTAAAAGTTTACTGGAGTATTTTTTAACGACGTGTATATCCATTCGTTTATGCACACAACATTAAAAAATCTGTCACAAAAAC